TTATGACCTATCACTTTAGTTTTAACTGATTTTATACTGTAGCCTTTTATTTTTTTTGGGAGATGATCTTTCATTTTCTTGACCAAATAAAAGGTGGTTTGGGGATCTTGCTGTGATGATTTCTTGCCTGGCTATGCGTGTAGTCTTTCTAATCTGCGTCACATGCGATTGTCCCCAATCTTATTTTTTTTAGTGTACCTGGAATTGTGGAATTGGGAAATTAAGGTCACTTCCAGAACTAAATGAGTTTAATGTTAAGAATAACATTGGTTTTAGAATTTGGGAGTTGGAACATATGAATGAGTTGCGCAAATTACAAATACATTTTCTAGAAAATGTTAAGGACGCTACAGAGGCTCGCACTGCAAAATTATCAACAGGCCAAGGCAATTTTGGAAAACAAATGATATGGCGCAATCTTATTTGTCTATCTGGAAATATTTTCTTTGTCTTGGTATGATTCAATTGAACATAATCTTTTTTTAGAAATGATTTGGTGTTAGATATGTAAATATATATAAATTGATTAGCATGTATATAAATCTTCCATTTATATTCTTATATCAAAAATTGAATTGGATATTTTTTTATTAATCTTTTTTACAAATTGTGTTTTTTTTTATTAATAATTTTCTAACTGGTTTGTTCTCTCTTAAATAGTTATAGTAAGATGAGCTACATGTTTTCTGGAAAGTCCGAGCGAGTACTATGCCGTTGTGGACTGTTGTTCTTATTACTCACGTCACGTCAACAACACAGCTGCGGGTGACAGTTCTACAAGTGTCGCGGTGGCCACTTGAACTGGAGGACTGGAAGTTCTTCAGGTAGACAGAAAGTACGTCCCATTCTACGTTATCCCAATCGGATAACGTCGCTTGGGGCTCGATGGTATCACAACTTGAGAACGTCGCTTGTGGTTCAAATGTTTCCCAACCGGACAAGGTTGCTCTGGGTTCTACCGTGTCACATCTGGGCAACGTTCCTCGTGACATGCTTCTACATTTTAAAATGAATATTGTCATTTTCTTACTTGTAATTTTAACTCGTTCTTTCTTTTTTTTTTTAGGTTTCATGATACTCACTATTAGGTGAGGTGTATATCTTTTTTGTACTTTTATGAAAAGGTTTAATTGGTTCTAAAATATTTAATTTGTAGACATTGCAGTTTTGTTGAGAAAATTACAACTTCTGTGTGTCAGATTGTTTATTTACTTAAAAAAATATGTAAATCAGCTGTTCTCAAAACACAAACCAAACAGTTAAACAGCTTCAAAAACAGGGGCAGAATGATTATTTATCCAGAATCAGTTGTTTTTCAAACACCCAAACCAAACAGTCAGAAAGTTTATTCGGATCAGCTGCTGATCAACAGCTTATCAAGATAGACAGCTTATCAGGATAGACAACTTATCAGAATAAGCTGGATAAGTTGGATGAGTTGCAGCTGCCCTAAACAGACCCTAAGTCTTCAACCAGCTGTCCTCTCCCACACAAAGACTCGATCTCTGCTTTTTTATCCTGCCTTCAGTCTCTGCTCGATTGCGCGAGCTTGAGCTCTCTCCTCTTCTTCCTTCGGTTTCGACTCTCCCCATCAGAGCACACACTTCCGCCTCTTCCTCTATATGCACGCGAACATGACAGAAATCTCGACTCGCCTTTCTCTTCACCTTTGGTCGTGACTCACCCATCACAACTCAGTGATTTGCTGTCTTTCCTCGATTTCTTTCCTCTTCTCCCTAATGCAAACAATGTTGCTACCCTCTTCTCCTTCGCACAACTCGATGCACATAGCATCACATGACTCGACACAGACAACACCGCGGTCTTTTCGTCTTCCTCTTCCTCTTCGTGAGCCCAACATCGAAGTCTCCTCCTTCCTGTCTAGAGTCGAGGCATAGCAGCTCTCGCGTTGTCGCTCGAATAAGAAGAAATGAGGCTGATCGGGTGCTTTAAGTATTGCACAACAAAAAAAATTCGCTCGAACATTCCTCCTCCTCTGGCTTCCTCCTTATCTTCTTCTCTCAGAGGCAGGCCGGGAACTTTCCTTCCTTCTCCGATTCTTTTCTCGCTTTCCCTTTCATTCCGTTTCTGAAGTGAAGATAGACTATTGAATGAAAAACAGTCCTCTCAAATCTTAAGCTTAATGGCAGCGACGGTTAACCCACGAGCCTATTCAATTTTATTTTATTTTATTTATTATTATTATTATTATTTTAAAATTTAGTTATTACATTAGGTTCTAATACCATGACAATTTGGAAAGAATTGGTTTGAGTGTTTTATTTTATCGTTTGTGCTGAATTTATACTTATCCAGGAGAATATCAATTACAAAATGTACTAATTTTAGAAGTTCAAAATTTAGTTATAGAATTTAATTATAATAAAATAGCCCTAGATTGGTGGTGCGGCAAAAATGATCTCTTGGATCAACGAGGCAAAATCAGTTAAGAAAAGTAAGAATAGCTAGCAAGAGGTAAACAAGCTGGCGTGGACCAATCGGGGTGGAAGACAAGGGGTTATTTTAGAGAAATATTGGGAAGGGATTTTAGGGAAAATATCAATGATGCTCAACATCCTTCTCCAACTTACGTTGTGTGCTTAGTTCTTCCATCTTTTTTGTTCTTCATTCTTCTCTCTCCAAGAATTCAAAGCTTCTGAAAAGCTTCTATTCCATCTCTTTAGATCATATAGCTTAAGGGAGAAAATAAATAATATTATTGAAATTCTTGATATTTGAGGATTCCAAAACTTAGCTGTTTTGACAAAGTTTGTAATTCCATGCCAAGTTTTTTCGAAATGATTTTTTAAAAAGGGACTTTGAAGGAATTATGTAAATATAAAATTAATTATGTTATCATTTTATGCTCATCCGACATAAGCTTATCACAAGGATATCCCATTCACTCCAATTTTAGAAACATGAAGGATTGGACTTGAATTATGGGATTTACCACTTACCTTGTGACGTGGAGCTTTCCCCCTTCTAGCTACGGACGCGGGTGGGCTAGCCGACTGAACCGGTTGGCATGGGGCACCGGTCCAAGGGACTCAGTCCAAGCTTCAGAAGTACTGAGAGATTTGATACGACCCAGGCTACCTTTCCTTTCGCATCTCCCTCCCCGTCACACCTCTCGCTCGATCGAGCGGCATATTGAGAAGGGTGGCATTGCCGCCAATCCCTTTTTCCTCCTTTTTTTCTATGATTTCCTTATGAGAGCTTTTTCTTTTTCTTTTTTTGTCAGTGAGAGTCTTTAAATTAGTGTTTTCTGGGTTTAGGGTTTAGTTTTTGCTGTGAGTTGATTTTAGATTTTCTGTGTAGAATCATTTTCTTTGTTGTAGGGCTGTATCTGAGGAGGTGGTAGTGCTCTGGTTGTATCCTACTCTGAGGTGGTGATTGTATCTCCCCTTTTATCTTTCCTATTCCATCTCCTCCACTTTCCTTAGCCGTCGGCTATCCCCAACCGCTTCCCCCTGCATTAGGGACCCGCTTCTATTGCAATGACTTATTGTCCAGCTCTTTCCCCTCCACTTATCTTAAAAGCCAGCCATCCCAATTGCATAAAAAAAGACCCGGTGGGTACTTAGGCATTTGGATGCAATGGCTTTACATTTTTAACTTTGTGCATGTGAGGGCAACGACAAACTTTGTGAGGTGGTTGAATGCACCAAATTTTTTTTGCTCTTGCTTTTTTTCTTCTTACAATTATTGTCATATTAAATAAACATTTAGTCTAATTAATTTGATTTAAATTTATTTTGACTTAAATTAATAATAATTCTTTATTAAGTATCATTTTTCCACGCAAAGTTAGTTATTCATTGTGAGTCTCAAATTATGTATAATTGCCTCGTATGCGGGCATATGTTTTTTGTGTTTGTCTTTTGTGTGGTTGTTAGGAAACATAGGTGCTCCTTCCAGCTGCTGCTGACATTATGGATCCGTTAGCAAACCATTTATGAATTTAATTTGATTTGTGCAATTTAGTGATTTTGATTTGTGCGAAGCATATCAAGTCTGACTTACACGTCACGACTTTTGTCCAAATATTTTACCGTGTGACAATTTGGTGATGCAAGGTGCCTTTTCCCAGCTGATGCGCAAACACGATTTGTTTTGTGAAAGAGGTGACGGGCATTTTTCTAAGTTTTTTTGACCTTTTTCTCGTGCATTGAACTGGACAATTCAGATATCATTCGTATATAATTTGGACATTTCAGACTAGTTGGTGCAATCCGTTTTGTGATTTGAACAACATTCATCTGCTTTTTTTATTTGTTTTTTTTTTTTTGTTTCAATTGATGCTCATTGAGTTAGTTTGAAGAGATGTTGCATCCATTATCTATTTGTCGCCATTTAACTTGATTAGGCTAGGTTTTGGGTAAGACAGGAGGTCCAACAATATTTTAACTCTCTTTAATTGTCAAAAATCAAAAGGAAAACTGATATTTAATTCTATCTTGTATTGGTAACTAAGCATAACCTTCTCGCTCATTAAAAAATCTTAAATTGTTCATGTGCTATCATTTTTATATAAGAGATACCAGAAAAAGAAGATGTCAACTAAGAAAATAAACACAACCACGGAAGGCTGTTGACATTCCAAAACAATTATATTTTTGAATGTTTTGTCTAGAACATTAATTAATCAATTGAATAGCTCTAGCTTAAGCAGTATGGTTTTTGGTTATGGATTGTGATCACATGTTTGAATTCTGCCTATGATATTTTTTTAAACTGAGTATTCACCAGTCTTTTGTTTGGATGTGATTTATTGCGGAAGTTGTGCTGTTCCAGGCAACTAGCCTTGTGCCTACATATATAATCGCACTTGTCCTTATATTAAATTCATAAAATATTTGAAGGTTTTTTCTATCTTAAGAAACTGTCAATCAATGTTTGCATTTCTTATTGTCATGACATTGTTATATTAACCCCCAACAAAACGATAATGTTGATGACATTGTATGATTTATGTAATTGTCCTACTATTTTTGTAGGCAATGCTTGAGATACATGAGCATATGCATAATGCATGGAGGAACAAGGTTGAGGACAAATTTCCACAGCCCAGTATCTTTAACTGGATACATAGCCTTCCATTTGATTCAAGAGTAAAGGAATGGTTAATTGGAGAAGAAAGATACAAGCTAGTGACTCGGGAGAAGCATATACTTTCTGCTGTAGCTGATAAGTTTCTTGTTGACGGGCAATCAGCTAAAAGCGGGGCCAGCATTCTTTGCTTTGATGAGATTCAGGTGCTCCAGCGACTTATATTACTTGGCGTGTTACACTTGTCTTGTTTGCAAGTATTGTTTTATAATTAGATCACGTATCATATAAAAAGGAATAAGAGGAAATAAATAATGCCTATTTTTAATTAGTCTACAAAATATTATATTTGAATCAGTGAACGAAGCCTTTTCGAATCTTAACTATACCAGCATAGAAGTTGTTGATTGGGAATGCTAATTTTGAGGTTTTATCACTAATGTGGATAAGTGCGGCATGCATAAATGATGCATTGCGTGATTCCAATCTCAAGATGGACATTTATGGTTAGCTTCTTGTAGATAATACAAGTTGATACAATGGAGGCTTGTGTTTCCATTTCTTGTCCACATGGCCGGTCTCTTCTCTCAAATGACAAGTATTTGATGGACAAAGATCGTAACTGGAAGCGGAAAACGACAATTTTCTGCTGTAACAAGCTGGGCGCAGTGATTTCGATGGCTGTCCTACTGAAAACAGCAGCTAAGCGGTGAAACAGAGAGGTGCGAAAGGCGAGGGTGGTCAACCTCTAGTTCCTAGGCAAGCTATAGGCACACCACTTGCAAAGGGAATGTGCTACAACTCTGTGGAGAGCTGAAATCAAAGAAAGTCTTTCAAAGTCCATAAAATTTAAAACTAAAACTCCATACTGCCACAATGCAACATATATGAAAGTCTATTAATATAAATTAACTTAATTAAACAATGGAAAAATAGGAAAGAACTAAAAAAAAAGGAAGAAATAAAGAAAGACGCATGCTGAAATTGTAATAAATAAAAAAAAGGAAACTTGTGGTTCAGTCTCATTCCCACAGCTGCAAGAGCCGTGAATCGCAGCTTGCAGCACCACGGGAAACTTCCACATCCCTCATCTTCCTGCATCCCTCGTCACTCTCCGTTGGTAGGAGAGGCTTTTGCCCTCATCTCTGAAAACACCCGGGTCCTTGTAGTACAATGGCAAGTTGACGATATTAAAAGTAGCAGAAATATTTTCATATTCTGGTATGTTAATTTTGCAGGCTTTGTCATTAATCTTCTTCGCAATCTTAAACAAGCCATTAACTTTAGGCTTGAGCTTCCCGAATGAACTTGTAGGAAATCAGTATATCGTTAAACCTGATCCATATCATGTCGCCTTCCTTGAAAACCATAGCCTTTCTGGACTTATTAACATGTTTCTGATACTTGGTATTGTGCTTAGCAATTTCTTTCTTGACTTGCTCATGTAGGGTCTGAATATATGCTTGACTTGAACTTTCTTGACATAAGTGGTAAGAGGGTTCTACTCGTACATGTTGACCTCATTTTTAGTGAGGTCTAGTTTTCTTCTTAGGGTTTTGGGTATAGCCTTAGGGTTCTTATCTTAGAGCTTTAGAAATGAGACCCGCATCATTTAGAAATTCAACCTGCTTCTTCACTCTTTTGGAGTTTTGCATATGTGGTATCGGCCTCTAACACTTAGAGATTGAAACCAATATGAGGAAACCGAAAAAGAGTCCCTACAGGACCATTAAGCTCTAGGATTGTCTTTTGCACAATTTGCACATTAGCGCGCACAAAATTCATGATTCTGACAGTCTACACGTTCGATTACCACATTCGCATCGTCCACGCAGTTATTTGTCGAAAGCTTAAATAAAATTTTGAACGATCGATCGCAGACTCAAATTTTTAAGAAAACTGAATTTGATACGTTTTTTTGACCTGATCGTCGACGAGGTTACCCGAATAACCCCAAATGACAAAACAGACTGCACCGGCACGTCCGAAACGTCGACTTTAGCCGGAAAGGACACTAATTTTGATATGACTCCGAACGAAATTAAATAGCGCTCAAATTCAGGGATTTTCAATATTAATTAATTTAAAAAAAAATTTTCTTTTCCGCTTAAATTTCCTAAATCCCTAAATTCATGCACACGAGAGGCAACACGCCTGTCTCGTTCCTGCCTTCTCCTGTTCGCGACTCACGCACCCGCGCCTGCTCCGCCTCGTTTATTCTTCATGCGGCCTGCCCGAACCCTCTTCATTCCGGTTCGTCTTCTTCGGCCTGATCGAGCTCGCGCAAACCCTAGCCGAGCTTCATTTCTCACGACCGAACTCCCTTCTTCGTGCGGCTTCGACCCGAGTTCCCCTCCTCGTGCAAACCCAACTACCTTGGACAACATTGTAGTAATTAATTTTTGGTGACCACTCAGTACATCAGCTACTTTGTTTTGATTCATTGCCTTATGTTTGAGCACAAAATCAAATGAAGAGAGAAATTTCAGCCATGAGGCCTGTCTTCTCCTCAGCTTACTCTGAATATTATGAACTTCATGGCCTCATGGTTAGTGTAGAGAGTAAATTCATTTGCTAGTAAATAATGACTTTAATGACTGAGCGATCTCACAATAGCATAAAATTTCTTTGTTGGTAGAATAATTTCTCTTGGATTCAAGTAAATTTTCACCGAAGGCAGCAATAGGGTGTCCTTCTTGTCTTAACGCAGCTCTAATTTCCCCACTTGATGATTTAATCTCTACTTCAAACACTTGATTGAAATCTTGGAGTGCTAAAATTGGGGCTTGTGTCACACATCTCTTCGAAGTATCAAAGTTAGCCTCATCAATGTCTAAGTAAATTTATCGTACTTGAGAAGATCCATCAAAGGTGCCTCGATTGAGCTGAAATTTCTAATAAACCTCTTGTAAAAAGTAAGTCAAACCATGGAGTTGGAATACCTAACTAAATGACTCTGAGCCAGACCACAATAACATCAATGTTCGTTGGGTTCATCTCAATAGCAAATAATGTATCCGAAAAAACACGTTTGTGGTATAAGAAAATGACACTTCTTTGGGTGATCTACTATGCCCGAAGAACTTCAAAACATGTTGCAAATGTTGTAAGTGCTCTTCTGAACTGTTAAACACTTTAATTTCATCAAAATACACAACATCAATTTTTTAATGAAAATTCAAATAACTTGGTTCATCAGCCGCATGAAATTATTTGGGCATTGGACAAGCCAACTTGCAGATGGCCCAATCAAACAACCCATCTCGTGTCTTAACGGTCATCTTCCACTCATCCCCTGGTGTTATCCTGATCTAGTGCTAGCCACTGTGCAAATCAATCTTGAAGAAGTCACTAGTTCTGCGTAACTGATCAAACAAATCATCCAATATCGAAATAAGAAATATGTAATTGATTTTTAATTTGGTTCAGAAACCTGCAATATATACACGTGCGCCGCATCCATCCTTTTTTGGTCACGATCAAAGTTGGCACAACACATTGATTGGTGCTCTCACTAACTAGTCCTCAGGCCATCAGATCCTCAACCTAGTTTTGTAGCTCTTCATACTTGCTGGTCGCATTTAATAAATTGGTCGTTTGGGGAGCACTGAGATCTATGGCATGTCGAATCTTTTGTAACAGTGGCAATTCAGGCGACTTAATGTCCTTCAGAACATCCTAAAACTTTTCCAGTAGTGGGTGCACTGTCTCAGGTATTGGTTCCTTTGTATCACTACCTTCTAGCATCACTGAGGTTAGTCCCACTAACATGTCTCTCGTAGCATGTAATAATGTAGCACAAGGCACAATGAATCCTACTTTTGTTTGATTACTCATCCTGCTGACTCTTTTAAAGGTAGTAGCACAATATGTTTCCAGTCATTGTTAAATGTGTTCATTTTTTTATGACCATCATGAAGTTTATCTCTATCGTACTGCCACAATTGTCCCAAAAAAAATATGACATGCATCCGTATGGATGGCATCACATCAATATTGATTCTATAGATTATCTCCAACTAAAAACTCCACAATGCATCTCTTGCTTATATGAATCTCATTTCTCTACTTCAAACAAGTTAGTGTGTACAACTGAGAATGTTTCTGTGTAGTGAGACTCAATTTATCCATCATATGTATAAATATCACATTTTCACAATTGCCCCTCCATTTATAATGAGTACACACCTTCCTCTTTATAGTGCAACAGGTACGAAAGATGTATGCCTGAACCACTGCTGATCTCTTTAGGCTCGGTTTGAAGGGCTTGTTGAACCACAAGCATCTTCCCATCATCTACTAATGGCTAGTGCTTGCTATTCTCCTCGAGGTATTCACTCTCTGCCTCTTTCAGTGCACCATGCTCGGTAATAGAAATCACCCACTTGTTTGAGCAGTATTTTTACTTGCATTAAAAAGATTTGGGTGAACCCTTCCGTTTTGGAATTCATCATGTATTCATTTGAAGTGCCACGAATATGTTTGACCACCTATTTTGTTTAATTCAAGAATTGTAATGAAGGTTTAAAATTGTGGCAGAAATCAGAGAAAAGTTATTCAAACTTTATATACTTAAAAACTGAAACTCCAAACAGCCACAATGCAACCTATATAAGTCTCCTAATATAAATTAATCTGATTAGAAAATACGAAAATAGGAAAAAAAACAGAAAAGAAGAAACTAAGAAAGAAATGTATTGAAATTGGAATAAGAAAAAATAAAAGGAAACTTGTGGTCCGGCCTTTAATCCCGCAATCGTGATAGCTGCGGATCATGGCCTGCAACACTGCAGAAAACTTCTACGTCCAAAGCAGTGCAGTTTTTTTGCTTGCATTAAAAGGTTTTGGGTGAACCCTCCCGCATTGAAATTCATCATGTATTTGTTTCAAGTGCCACAAATATGTTTGTCCACACATTTTGTTTAATACAAGAATTGTAATGAAGGTTTAAAACTGTGAAATTGTGTATTAAGGCATTTTTCTAATTATGTGAGTGTAACTATAAAAAAATACGCCAAGTAAAAAATATCATTCTAACTTCAACGTGTAAAATAAAAAGTGGCATATTATTATTCTAACATCGAAGTGTTAAATAAGAAGTGACATTAATATTCTAACATAAAATTATGAAGTAGGAAGTATCATACAAATTTCAAATTTAGATAAGATATCAAAGTAAAAATATATAAATTAAAATAAGTTCTCTTTACCACTCTTCGATGACTCCTCAATACTATTTTGTTTTTTTTCAGTATACAAGTCCTCAACTCATGTATAAATAGAGGATCAAGGCATTTGACTATAATAACCTGTAGAATCGATCATGTTGACACAAGATGGAAATGTTTTTATATTAACTGGAATAATATTTTCATAGAAAAATCTTTCAATATCTTTACACACTTGTCTACAAGCCTCTTACATTTTGAGGAGACATTTGATGGCCTACCCTTAGGTCATTTTCTGTATGAAATTCTGGTGTTCTTATGTGTTAATTTTCTTCTTCTGTTTTATTTTTTCTCTATATTTGCAAGGTTTCACTAATTTTCCACAATGTATTTACTCTCTCCACTTCTTGCTCTCTGACGGTTTTATAGATTTGGCAAACCATAAACATTAATAAAATTCTCCACAATACGTCACTTACTAATTATTTAAACCTTATACATTTCATATTCTGTCGTTCTTTACAGACTGTTGATGTTTTTGCAATAGTGGCATTATCTGGAATTCTAAGCAGCTTACTAAGTAGCGGGACGATTCTTGTTGCTACCAGTAATAGGGCTCCTGAAGACTTGAACCAGGTGGGCGTCACTTAAAAGATAATCTTACATGTGATCTTTATCTATACCCACAGGTATGTATTGATTTTATTTTCCAGGTGACTATCTATGGAAGCAAATTAGAAAATGGCTACTGGTATTTCTAGTGAATGTAGATTTATTTGTGCCCCCACTTTTGGAGTTTTTAAAATTCACTCAAGAATTTTGACTCCAATTTTGTAGCCTATCGAACATTCTTCCCTTTGAGATCACACATATTACTTTTTTCCATATTTCTTCAAAATTAATTGTAACCTCTGCACATTAGCATTAAACAAAAATCTTCGGGACTCTAGCTGAATAGAGAATTGGATTTGCTGCTACGGAATTTCAACGTTTTGTTCAGTTGCCAAGGAGCTAGCCCGTTAATTCTTGTCCTAATAGCGTGCAGTAGGCACTGCATGGCCAAAGACTGAAATAGTGAGTTTGAAATTGAACAAAGGTCACTATTTTTTTTAGATTCAGATTTTAGCTGGCTGGTAAAATTAAGCGAGAAACTTTGTTCACTTCTACCCATTTTATCACTCTTTTTTGCTTTTAAAGATGCATCTCAAACATCATTAGCACATCTGATGTCAAAATTATTCTACAAAGCTTCTTCGGGAAACATTTTAAGGACTAAGGGTCTATTTGGGGCAGCTGCAACTTATTAATAAGTTGTTGCGTAACAGCTGTGGCAGGAAGCTGCAGCGCAGAAACTACAAGCTGCTGCGCAGAAACTACTGCGGATAAGTTGTTGTATGTTTGTTTTTTGCAGTTTGAAAGCAGGTGTTTCTGGACAAATTATCATTATGTCTTTGTATTGTAATGATGTTTGCAACAGAGTTATTAATATTAGTACACTTCGTACTTGAAAGCAAATATTCAGTGTAAAACATTATAAAGTAATGATAGACACTTCACTAAACAGTGAATAACACGATTATCAAAATTAAGAAAATGATTATTAAAATAACAATTAATAATATGACAATATTATTTTTAAATTAACTTTGATAGTCATGCTATTCACTGTTTAGTAAGGTGTAAGTCGTCCTCTAGAGAAAATTTTCACGCTCGATCACTCTCGGCGGTGGAATCTTTCAGCCCGTCTGCTCACCTAAGATAGTCATAGTTTTATGTATTTTTCCTTGAATACCTGTAAAAAACTGTCTCTCGTAACTATGGGGCTGCTACCAAGTAAGCAGGGAAGATTGTAGTCCGCAATAGCATTGCAATCTTCCGGAGGTACCGGAAATCCTCAAGCCCATCTTTCTTGAAGGCTGAAAAACACATACCCTTAGATACTAGTAAAAATTGATGACATAAGTAAATAATTAAAGTTTTATGCAGCTGTGGTATCAGAAAACTCTGTATATAAACCAACAAATTTGTCACTACAATACGACAACAAAACTTATAAAAAAAGAGTTCTTTGTTGCCTTTAATCTACGTAATATCGAGCTTGGTGTGTCACATATGCATATCACCAAAAAAATGTCATCCAGAAGAACCTAAAAAATCATAGCGCTGGAAAGAAGAGAGGAATTTTGTTGCCTTCATTAGGATTTCACATGTGACACCAACCAATAGCGACATACAAGTCATTCAGAAGAACTTATAAGATCAAATGTCTCATCATAGACCTTTAATGTCCACAAAAAAAGACGTGCAATATTTAGGATACATATATTACCTACTGTTACAATATTTAGCTGGCCTCACTTGTTTATTAATTGCATTTTATCGTAATATCTGCCTATACTTTCCTTGAATTTTTTAATAATGTTTTGCCCTTCTTGTTAAAATAGGTTGATACTTTCCTTGAATTTTTTAATAATGTTTTGCCCTTGTTAAAATAGGTTGGCCTATTTCTCAATTCGACCTTCTTGAGACAATTGTCACAAAATGTTATTTTTGTCTTTTTATCTCACATTGCAGATGAATCGATTTTAACCATTGTATTACTAGCATGAAAAAAACTAATCAATATAAATAGGAATGCCATAATATCATAACTCAAAGAAAATTAGGAATGTCACAATATCATCACCAATACCCCTCAACACCACACCATTACACCACAGACACATCACCACTGTCACCACCTCCACACGCTAACACCTCCACACGCCAACACATCCACAATTCCACTACCATCACCTACACACTCCAACACATCCACAACGCTGACACATCCAAACAACTGCTACCACCGCCTCCACACACCAACACCTCACACAAACCACCATGTCCAACATCCACCAACACATCCATCAAACATCCATCAACACAAACACAACAATACACCAACCACCACCTCCACGCACAAACCAACCTACACCACCACCTCAAAATCCACCAACACAAACACATTCACACATCAACACCTCTTGAAACGCCACTACCACCATCTCCACACACAAACAACTCAACACACCAACACATCCACAACATCATTGTAATCACCTTCACACATTAATATATGGCTTATAAACCTTCCAAACAGCCCATTTATATTTCCAAATGATTGTGCATGCAATCAACATCGCCACAATAATAGAATAGAGCAAACAAAAAACTATAGTCTCACGACAATTTCTTTTTCAATTCTTTATTTTTTCTTTGTTTTTTTTTAATTTTCACCGTGAAGACACAACGCTAAAAATATGCTCAAAATATACACAACACCCGAAACATTGTTTCTGCAAAAATCCCAACCAATATTTACATTTAAAAAGAATAACAACTGAACATAGCAAAACCAGAGAAAAATCACAACTGTTATGGATGTAGGCATGTAAATATCCCAGAATGAAGAATGAAAGTGCAAGGCCTAGGATCTGTTCAGAGAAAAGCACACAGACCAAACAAGAAAAGACAGAGAATACCAAAATCCAAAATTCACCTCCATATTCCAAAGTCATTGCACATGGAATTCAAACAGAGGAGAGAAAACAAAATCCCAAAATTCAACATCAACAAAAAGGCATTGCACATACACATTTCAAAAATAAAAAACCAGGAAGGTAGGGAATACAGGAACATAGGCAGGGCCAAAACTCAAAAAACGCTGCACATAGGGCGGAGACAGTGATCTAAACAGAGCCGAAGAACAGAGAGAGGAGAGGGAGAGGGAAACTCACCACAATGATTACAAAGAAGCGACAGAGAAAGAGGCAGCACATTACACCTTCCATTCGTGAGAGAGAGGGATTACGACAAGAGTCACGAGAGAAACAGGAGGCACCACAGGATTGCGAGAGAGAGGGATTAAGACAAGAGTCGCGAGAGAGAAAGGAATGCTCACGGAATTGCGAAACCAACCGCGTAAAAAAAAACCAAAGCGGGCCGCGGGGTGAAACCCGCAACCGCGTTTAATGACAAATTGTTTGAATACGCCACAACACCACAACATCCAAACGCCCCTTATTGTTTTTCATACCGCACCGCAGCTAAAAAGCTCGCCAAACGGGCTGTAAGTTGCACTATTTTTGAAACACGTAATCTTTTATATCTTTTTTAATTGAAAATGTGCGTCCAGAATTATCCATTCTCCAATTTTCAAATCCGTGAGCTTCATACAAGCATATAAAAAGATATTCTCTTTACTGATCTCTTAAAGTAACTTTGTAAGTTACTGGAATAGACCTTTACAATTCTTCTTCTGAAATTAGCTTCCTTTCCCTTAAACAGAGAATACTCCGTATGTAAGAATAATCATTTTGCTTGAAATCATAGCACTCAATATGATGATTCGAGAATTAATATTGATGATGGGTTAGGACTAATGATTATACTGATGACTAACATTAATTTTGTTCAAATTTCAGGATGGTATGCAGAAAGAAATCTTTCAGAAGCTGGTATCTAAATTGGATGAAAACTGTCAAAAAATCAGTGTTGGAAGTGAGATCGATTATCGTCGCTTGATGCCGTCGGAAAATAGCAATCAGGTTAGCTTGTTTTAAATGATAGGACGATTTTTATTAAGTTATGAGCAGGTTAGATTTATTTGTTCTAGCAAAAACAATGATGAAACTAGATCTTATCAATCTTTAGAAAAGTGAAACAGGGGCCAAACTGAATTAAATTTGACACTATACAACCTGAACTGAAAGTTACGGTGCTATATTTAATAGGATTTTTTTGCTACGTTTTGCTCAAATTTGTCAATTTGATTTGTAGTTACAATATGTTCGAAAATTATTTGGCTAGCTAATAAACAGTAATGCAAGCTTGTTCTTAATTGTTTTGCTCCACCTTTCCTTATGTTTTACGAATACAAAGTTTTAATCTTAACTTGTTATGTTTATTTAGCTTTTCTAGCCAATATTTTGAAAGAAGTTGGTCTTTGTGAGTTGTTTTACGTGTATGGGGTGAAGTGTATGTAATATATGTAAAACAATAATAATACTAATAAATAAATAAAATTTTATTTATCTAATGGATGGGTCTGGTTCGAGCATTGTCTCGACAGTTTCTTCTTAAAAGACGAATGTCTCTTTTGGGAATGAGAAATAGAGAGACAAAGAACGGGACAAGAGGAAGTGAGGGAGTGGAAGAGAGAATGACACTCGGTGAAGCAAATGAAACAAAGAGAAGCCAACCTCATTTCAGATAAGGAAGAAGCTTGTGTCCTAGTTGAGAAGGTGGCCTCGTAACCGAGTGTGCTTTTGCATGCTTCTAGGGCAAGGAAGGCGATTTATGCGCAGACAAAGGAGGAAGCACAGTGCAGCTCTTACGTCTTGCAGAGAGGAATAAGGCGAAACCTTTGACACTTCTCGTGTTGTTGCATGAAGGAAGAAGGGAGGAGACAAGAGTTTTTGCCTGCGGGAAGATCGAATTGAAGCCGATCCTATGAATATCATTTGCATGCGACTTGTCCAGGTTCGAGCAAGAGGGAGGAGTGAGCACTCTTGCCTCTCACGTTAGGGAAAAGGAAGCTCTGAAAGAAGTTAAAAATAATTTTGAGGATATATTTGAGTATATGTTGCTAATCCTTATATGAGTTCTGAAAGAAGTTAAAAATAATAAATACTTAAATTTAAACGGGAATGTTTAAATAAAAAATGAAAGCTTATAGTTTGACTTGTCAATAAATTATATTTTATAGATATATTCATACATACCATTTGCATATTAATTTAATGCATAAAAAGATTATATTTCTCACTGAGTGGTGTAATTTATTCTTGAAAATTTTTTATTTCTTTCGGGAAACTATTATACTTATATGCCTGACAAGCGAGAGAAAGTTTACAAGAGAACAACTACTGTTAGGGTGTAAACAAGTCGAATTGGGCTCAAGCCATGCTCTTATCCAACTCAGCTCGTCTACCGAATTGTGAGGTGGAGCTTGAGTCAAGATCAAATGGCGAGATCAAGCTCGGCTCGTAGTGGCTGGCTCACAAGCTCGAATTTAAATATGTGAGCTCACCGGAGAAGGTATTGGTGGCTAAAGGAGAATGGTACAATGACAGTTCATTGGAAAATGTATTGAAATGACTAAAGGCAGGCTAATCGAGCTCAGCTCACGAGCCAATGAGCCGAGCTAGGACGAGCTCGAGCTCGTTTAATAAACGAGCTCAAGTTGGAGCTTGACCTGGAGCTCATGGCTCGATAAGCCCGGCTCTTGAGCTCGTTAAAGAGCCAAGCTCGAGTCTGTCAGGCTCAGTTACACACCTAACTTTTGTTGATAGATAGTATATTGTATGTTATGATTGTAGTTATTGTACTATCTACTGATGAGTAGTGATATATTGCTGTGTTGGTTTTAGATGTTTTATTGGTAGACTATGTTGTTTTTGGATTATTTTTTTCTTTGTAGTGTACTTGATGGTTTCTTAGTGACTCTTTTATAAATTAGAAATTATGATAATATGTGGGAAATAAATGAATTATTAGTTACATCTTCCGACAATCTGTTTCCGTCTTGATTAATTTTAAGCCCTAGAATGAGTCGTGAAATTAACTTTCCTAAATATTATTCAAATAGGAAAATAATATATTTAAGGAAAAGGAAATGAAAGAAACAACTACAAAGCAATAACTTACCCAAAACCTATGAGGAATCTAGATCGTGAACTAAAATTGAAATATAAATATTGAATTAACAAAGTAACTAATGTTAAAGGTCTTCTGTAGTGAAAATCCACCAAATGATTGATAGAATCAATTATAAGAAAAAACTATCACAAATTACTTTATAGCATAAATGGAAAGACATGGGCTTGCAACATGAACTCTAAAAATTATATTATTGATAATATAACTATAACATAATAAATGAAATCATTTTAGAATAATCTGATATTTCATGAATGGAAAAATGTCAGTTGCTTTAAGATAATTAACAGAATCATTCATACTATAAATAGTGTTCAATTCATCTTTATGTTAAAACATATCCATTTGCAATCATATTAAGAATGAATATATAAATGTATAATCAATTTATCAAGATAACTTGAATCTGAAAGGTGGTTTCCCAACATATGAAAATATTCCAAAAAGAGTAGTCAATTTGTGGACCGATCGCCCTTGTTAGCCAATTCTAAGACGATTATACCAACCTATTCATTCATCATATACAAGCCTATATATTCTATAAGTAATATGACTTAAGCTAGGTTAATGATTTACCTGAAGAATACTTATTTTATTCAATAGAAACAATGTGCTTGTGAACAAATTTTGTTATTTTATGGATCATTTTATAATTAAGGAATTTATATTGCAATTAATTATGGCAAGGTTATCTACATCTTATAAAATTTAATTAAGAACATTAAATAAGTTCTACGTAAATATTATGTATAAGAATAATTGGATGTCAATCAAAGGCATTGTCGACCCGGCTCGAGGCTTGGAGTTAATCAAGACGAGTACGAACGGTCGGACAACGGAGACTAAGTTTTCAATATTCATTCTCTATAAATAATATTTTTCAAATGTAAGAACCATTGAAGAATATTAATTTAAGATGGTATAATTAATTTTACATCGTTATTGGTTGTTCACTCTTTTATAAACATGATTCTTTCTCTTGCTCATTTTTTAGTCATTTCATTAACTTGAAAAGTTAGTTTAAAATAACAATGAACTAAACAAGTTAGTGGATACTCATACTCCTAAACTACAATAATAGAAGAGAAAAAAATATAATATGCATGTCAGTTAAGCTTTTAAATAAATAAATATATTATGATTTTATTCAATAAATCTTACTATATCACTTGGGTATTTATATTATTATATATATGTACAACCATAACAAAAATACTATCTAAAAATTTATATCAATTAAGACAGTTCAATAGCAATACCATTTTTCATATATATGCTTGGGTACATTAGCATTCTCCCATTGGTGCTATAAGAGATGTGACTTCATCATAGTCAGTCATGTACATAAAAACAATCAATATAAATATATCATTCATGTGTTTATTGCATTCAATTTAATATACCATGTATAACATGTATTAATGCATGATAGCAAGTAGTTACATTCGTTCGTAATAGTGTGACCAATAAATAAAATAACGTACAAATCAAATAAATTTTGTACAAATATCATTATTTACTGATGCATAATAGTGGAAAATAAACAAAATATTATCTTATATTAAAACTATGAGTACTCGCCTCAATGTCAATTAATTTAAGGCAATTCCCTTGATGTTGACTCTTTTAAATTAGAAACCTAGCATAAAAATAATATTTATATTATCAAATTTTAAATAAATTATTTTTTTATTTAGCTATTAACTTTATTGAAGTATAAAATTTTCATATTTGACTTTATGTAACCCTGCTTTTTATTTTGAATATATATATATATATATATATATACATATATTTATCATTAATTTTATTATCAAACCAATTAAATAAATATTTCCTTCCTCGGCCGAGCTTTATCCACGTGAAGACTTCATCATCCTCCCCATACAAGGGAAAAGAAAGTAGTATGCATGTCGATTAAAGCTTTTAATAAATTAATATAAATATTTGATGTTATTAAAAAATACTGACTATATCAATAACATATTAATATCATTATATAAACGGATTTAGTTCGTGCCAGATGGAGCTGAGTTCTCATGCGCAGTGGACCGGATAAGCTTGAGGGAGGGGAGAAGGAGACAAGGCTTCACATGGATAAGGCTCGACTGAGGAAGGTAATATTTATTTAATTGGTTTTGTAGTTATATATATATATATATATATGTCTTCGTTTTTGCTTTGCTAGGGTTTTCGCTCATGGCGAACCCCAGCCCGAAACAGACTTCTACTTTTCTTCGCTCATTTCAATCCTTTCTGTCTTCATCAACAGCTCTGGCTGGCGGAGGAACATGCTATTAGTGCACCCCATGTGCCTGAACGCGCTCCCAACAAAACTGATGACAACAAACCTGAGGAGGGAATCACCACAAGACAGGAGTTGGTGTCTGCTCCTGGTATCCCTTCTCCTGACCATACTACAACGGATAATGTTCGAACAAAAAATCAGAATAACCCCACAGCTCCTATTCAAGAAGCATCAAGTGCAGAGGTGACAATTCACACTTCAAATACACTGGAACCTATCGATGTTGCAACTACTGTCTTTCCTTCTACTATGGTTCTAACATCTAATCAGTCCGAGGATTACATGAGCCAGTCTTCAGATGAAGAATAGCAGGTTTACACTTCTCGGCGGAAGAAGAAGGTTGAGGCACACCCCAACTTGGAAACTTAATGGATGATACTTTGGTTACTCCTGACAATGATACGACTCTTCAAAGTTTGTTATCTGATTCTGCTCCTAAAACTAGAGGAAGATGTAGGACTAAACTGACTCGTTCCTAACTACCTGTTTTTTCCATGTTTTAAATTTGTTGTACATTTTTATTGAGTTTATCTCTTTTTGTTGAGGTATTACTGTATGGGTAGCGTGCCTCTATTGGGC